AAACCACAATTCCATCTGCAGCTGCAGTGGCCTCTGCAACCTGAAAAGTGCAGAGGTGAATGGACAGGTAGATTCTGAAAGATTGAATCTGATTGGCAGATATTGCGTAGTAGAGGCAGTTTTTATTTTATATTGTTATATAAAAGGCTAGTTTGCATTTTTTTTTTTAACTTCACTTTCAATACTTTTTATTGATCTTTTCAACAAGGAGAAAATTCTGTGCATAGGAAAAAAATTATCAGAAATAAAGTTTTATATCCAAATTGCTTGCAATTGGACCGTAGAACAGTTTGTACACAATGTGCAAGATTTCATATTGGATCACAGGTAATAGGTTCCACATAACAATACTAATACCATTCGGCATGGATGGAGTGCACATGCGTCTGAGGAATAGGGTAGGGGGAAGGAAAGTAAGAACTAGGAGCTTAGACGGGGAATTGAGAAGTAGAAAATAATAGAGGGAAAGGTAGCAAACAATAAGTTTCACTCATATCTACAATAACCATTCTACAGGATCTCACCAGCAGCATTTTTAGGGTGAATAATCCATGTTTGCCACGCCTTACTATAAAATGCATGTTTCGCATTTTTAAGAGCAATCATCCGCTCCATTGACATAGCATAATAATGTCATCAGGAACTGGTGTATCTGTTTCTGGAGAGGAGGGTTCTGTGGAAAATTTAATGAAAGGGGTTTCTGCACCAGGCCAATTGTGCACGTCAAAATGTTGTGGTTTTTTTTTTTTTATCCTTGGACATCAGCTTTAAACTGTGAAAAACCATACAAACTGTACAAGACGAGATATACCGTTAGCCACAGCTTTAAGGTCAGAAGGTGAATCGTTTCTTGTAGCTCTTCTGTGTTGCAGTTGTTAATCTCTTAATAAAAAAGGTTTCTGGCTGATTTGTACAAGAAATGTTTTTACTTTTCAGCTGCTTGCTGGGCAGAAGAAAATTGCCCCCTTCTGGACATTTGAGTATTACCAGACATTCTTTGATGTTGATACTTACCAGGTAAGTAGGAATGTCCAAAATCTGTAATGTAAATAGTCTATAGATTGAGAATAGTACTCATCTTACTGGTATCGGTGCATCCCTAGTTTTAATATTTACCAGACAGATCTACAAAAAACATCAATGCAGATCGGTATTTCTTAAAGCCAAACTGAACCTTCAGTTTAAATAGGCTCAATACATTCATACTAGATCAGGGCTGGACAAATCCCATTTACTGCTGGCATCTAACTTTTTAGGTTTGCTCTAGTTGTTGCTCAATGGATCTGGCACCTAAAAAAAAATCTTGCTGACTTCTGAATTGGACAGACTGGCTTTTGAATTCCATATTATTTGTCCAATCCTGTTCTAGATGCATAAAAACAAAAGGTGTGCAAAGTCTTAGGGTCCATTAACACCACATGCGTTGGGTCTGCGATGGTTGTTGTTTCCAGCGCAGCCCCAATGCAAGACAAGACAATTTGTCTTGTCCTGGATGGACACCTTTCACACCACCGCATTGCGCAAGGCATGACTTTTTTTCTGCGCTGCGGAATGCGATGTGGAAGAACAGCCTTGCACCCTGCTGTGCCTGTAGCGCTGAATGAAAAGTCACTTGTGAAATTTCAGTAAAGTCCAAAACTAAATGTTAAATAATTACAAACCAATCATGGGAAAATGTTTTAGAACATGAAACACACATTGATGAGATTATTTACTGTATGTTAAAGTGACATTAAACGCTCAGATTTTTTAACATAAAACAATACTGTAATGTGTGCCTTACTGTAATCCATGGTTGTTTCCCTTCTCTTTGCTGCTCTTCCTTTTAAATCTGTATCTGTTCTCATGCTGTTTTGCAGCAGACTGCCTTGTCTCTTAAATAGATACATGGTGTCTGTGTGCAGGTTCACAACCTGAGCCAACACTACAGGAAGAGGCACTCAGCTGCAAAGGGAAGTTCTCCCCAAGCATGAGAAGACATGATGATTTAAAAGGAAGAGCAGCAAAGAGAAGGGAAACTACCATGAATTACAGTAAGGCACACTTTACAGTATTGGTTTATGTTAAAAAAATCTGAGGGTTTAATGTCACTTTAAGCTGATCTCCATATAATAAAAATTCAATACTGTACATTCCCTTTAACAAAGACTGAATATTTTTGTTTTTATATACTGACACATTACCACAGGTTCTGGATAGGATAAAAGGCTCTGTTTTACCAATACCAGGAAGGAATTTTGTAAGATTGTATGTCAGAAGCAATCCGGATCTTTATGGTGAGTTTTAATTTTATGCCATAATTCACAGAATGTTTGGGAGTTTTTCCTGGCACCAGAAGGCAAGCAGAGTTCATTCTGATGCATGATTATCAGTGCCAAAAGCAAATGTGGATTACAGTAGTAGTACCGCTAACCCCATTACTGTTGGACTAGACCTCCATTTTTACTGAAAGCACACAGAGAGCCAGAGTATATAAAATCAGCCTGTACAGGCCAGGCAGTGCAAAGCGTATAGTTGCCTAAACCCTTATAGTAGATTTTAAAGAAACACTCACCTACCCATTTGAGGTCCATTCATGTCTCCCAAGTGCAGGAGTCCACGTTGAGTATACTCCAGTGTCGGAGATGGAAAGTGTTTCAGGCCTGGCATTTCGCTGTTCAGGCCCAAGCACTCTCACAAGGGTGAGACCATATGCTCCTCATAACCTGAAGCTGAAGCCCAGCTGTATTGGAACAACAAAGCAAGGGCTCTGACCGAGCATGGAGGTGGAGAGGAAGGACAGATTGATGAGTATACTTTACTGAGGGAGGTGAGCTATTAGGAGGCACTGTCAGTCACATCGCCCATACAACGGGGGGAAGTTATCAAAACTGGAGCAGACAGAACCTGGAGCAGTTGCCCATGGCAACCAATCAGCTTCTCTCTTCAGTTTGTTAAAATAAGCTTTGAAAATGAGACAGAAGCTGATTGGTTGCAATGCAAATCTGCTCCAGTTTTGATAAATTCCCCCCAATGTGTCTTTAATATCCATGTTCTTGAAGAGATTGAATGAATAAAGCCATTGACATTATGACATTACTTTTCTGTTGTAAATGTTATTTTTACAACTCTAATGTTTTAAACGAGATGCTCTGTTTATATGATAGGTTTTGCTTTCATAGACTGTATTAACATTTTTCTGCATAGGTCCTATTTGGATATGTGCCACCTTGATTTTCACTATTACCATAAGTGGGAATTTTTCCAACTTCCTGCTGCACAGAGGAGAGTCCCAATACCACTACGTGCCTGAATTTAAAAAAGGTTAGTGACTATGATGTCATTTTCCTTATCTGTAAATGAATTGTGAGAGCCATGCCCCATGGGAAGTTGTCATAGATCAATTTAAGGTAGATTAGAATTCTGATTGATAGACTAACCTCCAAATAACTTGACTGTTTTGTTATAGGTTGCTCCAAGTCAGGACTAGCTATAAATTATACAGCTTCCTATGCAAACTTTTTACTATAGAGTTGTATGGATTGGCCGGAGGGACCACAGCAACTAGTGGTGGACATGCTAGCTGACACATCCTGAAGTGTTGAATAGCAGTGGCACCTGCAGGAGAGTGACGTTTTAACACACCATGCACCGGAAAGGTAAGTATTCATATTCTTTTATACCAAATGTAGCCACCCTCCAGAAGAAAGGACAGTGTCAGCACCAATTCTGAGATTTTTGATGCTCTACAGCCGAGTGATATACAAATAAGATACATTTTTGTTAATAGTTAAGGCACTTGAATGCATTTTTAAGATTTAAAGCCTAAGTTTAGTGTCCCTTTCAATTAAGCACCTGCTACTTCATGGAAATCCTTTCCTCAGGTCACCAATAATCAATGGTCATCTGTCTGTATCCATTCACCATGTGTGTATTTTTGCTTCTTGCAGTTTCCATTGCTGCCACTGCCATTTATGCATATGCCTGGTTGGTGCCTCTGGCTCTCTGGGGCTTCTTAACATGGAGACACAGCAAAGTGATGAGTATGGTGTCCTACTCTTTCCTGGAGATAGTGTGTGTTTATGGATACTCGCTCTTCATCTACATCCCTACTTCTGTAAGTCCATCTGACATTCATAAACTCTTTATCCGGTTGTTGTTCTTCTTCTTATAAGCATTAATTATAGAAACAAGGCGCTCCAGCTAGACACAGTACACCTACGATATGCAGTAACCTTTGCCTTACAGAAGAAGAGCACATGATACAGTATGTACCTCTCTGCCAGGACAAACACACAGTGCCAGGTTCTGCCAGGGTACATTACGATCCTGTTTACATTAAACATACAAAGAAAGAAATACTCTGAGCCCGGATATTTCACTATTATGAGCGTTCTTCACGAAAGGGTGAAAAGTTTGGAGAAGCTATTTTTTCCTAGCTTGTTCACTTCTCCAAACTCTTCACCCTTTTGTGAATAACTGTATATTTTATACAGCCATTCTGTTTTATTTCAAGGATTCTATAGTTATAAAATTGAAATGTATTAGGTGCTGCCTTCTTGCCATCATGGGTAAAGGTCACTCAGTGCTATACAAGGCTGCAAATCATTATCTTCCCAAACCTGGACTAAAATCTCACTAACCGCATCTATTTTACAGGTGAATTCACATGCACACTGGTGGAGTAATCTGTGTTTCAGCAAACTAATTTAGCTACTTGTGTAGATATTCACCCCCAAAAATTTGAATCTTGGAAACAACTGTTCGTAGGACTCAAGGATCAGTTTGGGAAACACCACTGTAAGCAAACCCATGCCAATAGAAGGTGCATGATGGATTCTACACAATCTGGTGCTCTTGGATCAAATCGCAGCTCCGGCCAAAGCTTTATCGATTGTAGACAGAATGGGGAATGGTTAGAACACCTTTTGAGGTTTTACATGTTGTCTGTCTCCCTGAAGATTTTTCTTCACTTCCTGTTCTGATACCCATCAGCAGGATAAGAAGGAAAGTTAAAACTCCCCATTGGGATACAGATGGCAATGAAAACTTGACAGAGGTTCTAACTCTTTTTTTTACCATAAAAACCTTCTTTTAGATTTTTAGACACAGTGGGGAAGGTCTGAAAAGAACCCTCATTTTTCATTAATTTTAATTTGACAGAGTCAAACAGACCAGGTAACGAGAGAATATTTCCCCAGCAGGGACCCAGACAGCATACAAATAGGGTTTGCCTGTAGTTAGGCTTTAACTCTTTATGTACTTTTTTTCTCTGTTTTAACATTTATTCATATAACATTATCAAATATTGTGGCAGAGTGAACACTTTGTTTTGGGCAGCTGGATCAGGCTGAAGCTATATTCTGACTAATGCAAAATGTGCAATATTTGGGCAGTGTTCTGCTCATATAATAAATGGCCTCCCTAGTAAGGAAGCTTGCCAGGACAGATATTGTAAATCTGTGTCATGTGGAAGTGTCTTCTCCGTACTTTTTTTGGATCAGGTACTTGAGGGTTGTATACCAGGAGTTGGAATCCCCCACTGGGTGCCCCCTTTAACCATTATCCTGATCCTGGCCTAAGGCTAGTTGCATGTGGTACTGGATGAAGAAGTGCCTTTTGGCCAGTCTTTAAATATATTCATACTGGGGGAAGAGTGTCGGTCAACAGGCTTGTGGTGTTAGTTTCATCCAGAAAATGCAAGCTATGGTGCTTTTGACTAGAAGCCAGCACTTGGGTTATTGCTAAAGGGGGCTGAGCCATGAGGCTGAACACTATTTCCACACATGGAGCACTCCTATGACAATCCATCGGTATCCAGCCTAAGCCCTACATAAAGAAACATTACAGCAGACTTTTACCTCCTTTCACTCTGCATGCTGATATTAAATCATCTTACATGCATTAGTAAAACAAACATATTTTGCTTTTACTTACAGTTACTGTTTTTCTACTTCCTGGTCCCCTTGGGCATTAGTGATGTATTGTACCCAAGCATTGCATCCTGGGAAGGTTACATCAGCAGAGCATTGCTGGAAAATCTCATCTGTAATCTCATGAGATATCAGGAAAAGGCATTTTCCTAATCCTGAGATGATGTGCGTGGTCACATGTCCTAGTCACATGTGCCAGAGTTCCAGGAGGTAAAGGGAGATTGATGAATCTGCTCTTAGGAAAAATGGCCACTGTGAGAAGAATGGGGAGGAAAAGAGAAATAACGTATGCAAGGAATAAAAAGCCGGCAATTATCTAGAAGTATCTGCTTTTAGATTGTCATTATCAAACATTTCTAAATGTGTGTTTTTTGCCATTTCAAAAATCTGGGTAAAGTTCTTCCTTAAAACACATAAATCACTTTTAAAGCGACAGTCGGCGGTTGCCTATTATTATTTCTATTCGATCTCAAAAGGAAACTCTAGCTTATTGCATGTTACCAAACAATAAATAAAGGTCAAACTATTACTTAGTTGTATGCATGTTGTTAGGTAAAAGGAGGCACAATAAATGAAATGTTGTGAACCCATTTATATTGTAAACTGTACTGTTCGTGTATACAAGTCTTTATGACATAAGTCACTCGGCAGAAGAGCAGGAGATTTATTGCTTCTGAGTGAGATGTAACCTGATGATGGCAAGGTTTTTCCCTGGTGTTCTTTCTCCTTGGAGTGAAGGCAGACAAATGCTGTTGGGTTACCTGTCTACTCATGTGCAGGAGGGGTATAAACATTACCAGGGAGAGGACTTGGCTATAGTAATTATATTTTATAGCATTAAAAGGATCTTCTTTCTTTTAATTGCCTATCAGAGTCAGGATAAACCCCCACTCCCACTCAATTTAGTTGTTATCCATTGCACCCAAATTCCAGTGAGCACCTCACAGGGTCACTAAGATTGTTCTTCCTGAACCTTGTGCTGCGCAACATCTTCTCTGCCTCCTGTGTCATCAATCACATCTAAGAGAGGTTTGCATTTGATTGGTGGCTCTTAGTTCTGCCATTTTTAGATCATGGTTTATGTATGCAAGACAGCAAGGAGCCCGCAATGGGTGTGTTTGGAAGTAGCTCTCTTGTTTCACAAGTAGGGGTTCCCAGATCATAACATTTCCATCAAAAAGCAGTGGGGTGGCCTGGAACAGGGTGGCAATGCCTGGATGAAATCCGGAGTAGCGAGAAAGTAGGAAAGCTCTGTGCCCTGTATACATTTCAGGGTTTTCTTTTTTGGTGTATTTTTATCCATAAGGCTCCACAAATAAACATCTGTTGCCAATATAAAGCGAGCATTGAGCTAATTACATCTCAATTTGCCCTGCGGTTTCTTTCCTTTGTCTGCATGCCATGTTTAGGTTAGGCCTTTATTTATAGCTGATCAAACTGAAGCTTTTTAATGGCCGACTGGAAAGTCACCGGTTACATAATACTTGTGCTGGTCTACCCATGTCTACTAAATTCTATTGAGCTGTGATAAATAACAGTTTGTGCTCCATTTTTCCTATTCTCATGATGTCTTCCCTATTCTGATTGCTTTCGCTGTACAGGTCTTGTGGATCATACACTCCGAAATCCTGCGCTGGGTTCTCATGTCTTTTGCCATGTGTTTGTCCGGAGCTGTGCTCATGCTTACATTTTGGCCAGCAGTGCGGGAAGATAACCGAAAAGTTGCCATCTCTACCCTGGTGGCAATAATGCTGCTCCATGTACTTCTGGCAGTTGGTTGTGGGGTAAGATAACACCATACAGTCCTCAGGCAAAAGAGTAGAATTAATGACTAAGAAGGATGATACATATTTGAGTTATTGAAGGCAAGTCTGTGACTCTCCGACCTTCGTCCCTATATAACAGCTGTAGAATAATATTTTTATAATACCCCTCAAAAAGTTTAAATACTTTTGTTTTAGCCCAAATCATTTGCTAAATTCTGTTGCTGCTGAAGAAAACTCATTCTGAAGTGAGACAATACCGCCTGCCATGCAGCTGAACTGGTAGCAATTCTCCAGGCAATCTGTTTACTACGCAGATGAAATACGTATATCGGATCTGTTTTTCCTACCAAAGTGTGTGTATTTCTATGCATCCGGCCCTGAGATATACACACCGCCCATACAGGACAGTCTAATAAATGGAGCTTGCTTGCTTGCTTGCAGTGGAGTTTTGCAGATAGAAACTGCTGCTGACATGATTGTAAATATCACTGTGAAAATAATTTCTCATAAATGCTCTGTTTTGTTTCTGTCACTGTAAATTCTGAAACATCGTCACCAGTGCTAAATCTGTTTTTGTAGGAAATGTGTAATTTTTTTTCCCCTTCATTTTAAAGGAATATTTCTTTGATCAACCAGAAATTGACCACATTCTGCAACCCGTCACATCCATAATCGCCACAACAAAGGGGGAAGTACAGAGTCACTGACAAGAGGTAAGGGTTCTGTTAGATTGTGGACTTAGAAGAGAACTATGGGGTAATCTTCTTATCCCATAGTTCTCTTTAAGGGTCACGGGAGGACATATACTAGCATTCTCCCCTGACCCAAAGCTCAGTATATAGCGAGCTACAGCTCACTATATACTAAAAGAGCACTGCAGCCGGGACGGATCCCAGCAATGCTGTTGAGCTCCATCCAGCTGTGTGAGTGACAGCTGGCTCTGCCTATCTAGAGGCAGAACCAGCTGTGCCCGCCCCCTTCCCCGTCCATTCCTCCAGTCAGCGCTGGAGGATTTGAGAGAGGAGGGGGGAATCCCTGCGGGGAGCGGTGACTGACAGTCACCGCCCTCTGCAGGGAGATGAACGGAAAGTGAGAGAGCGACGGTATGCGTTCGCTCACTTCCCGATCTTTAGAGTCGACGTGTGTCAGTTTCATTGTCGCACGTTGGCTCGAACTATGAGGATGAGTGGAAATCACTCACCTCATAATTCTCCTTTTGATACCTCTGATAGGCACCAGTGTGGTCACTCCTCTCTAGCAGCTAAAACCATTTTCAGTCACCCCAGCTGGCTGTGAAAATACCTAAACGGTGCCTGCATCAGATTGGATGCAGGCACTATTCAGCCGACTATTTTCCGCCCAGCTCCTTCGATTTTCCATTTGAAGGATGTTGGGTGGGAATCGGCAGACGGGGCCTCCCACTGAGTGAATTTGGGCTGGTTTATAATATAGCCAGTAGATTCACCACTTTACATACCATACCCCATACCAAAGGTTTGGCCCTGTAGAGGTGGCATGAGACACATTTTTCTCTTTTGACTAATTGTCCATCAGCTGCTACTTTATCTTATGGCCAATAAGGCAGGCTACAGATGGGCAGATATCTCCCTGTCCATTGCTCTCAAAAAGCTATCTGGCTGTTCTCTTAGGTGTTGCATGTCAGAATCTGCCTCATTTACTTTAGAATTTTGGATCCTTCACTGTTCTCTGTAGACTGAATAAAAGACTGAATATAAATATAATATGGATATAATATAAAAGACTGAATAACAGGCCCACATACATGGATATTTTCCCACAATTTGGTAAATGGTGTGAAACATTAAGCACTGCTGACTGACTTGTTCTAGCCAATTAAAGGCCAACCTATCCTAAATAGCCCAATAATTACAAGTGTAACATTGAACTGTTTGTAGAAGCCTAGGAGAAACTGAACAGGGATGAAAATATTTCATCCCTGGGCTGTAAAGTGACAGATGAGATCATAGGTGGCATAATTCCAGTGCCGTCTCAGGTGGCACAATGAGTAGAAATGCAACTGCTTCCAAACGGATTACTTTGTTACACAATAAGATCTGACCACGTCTTAAGCAGATTGCCATAGCAATAACCGTGTTCTATAGCTACCCTATAAGCTTTCAATAGTAATCTCGGAATACAAAGCGATAAACAAAAGGCAAAAGCACACTGCCATGCACAGATTACTACATTTATTGTGTAACTAAAAATAAAGCATATATTGCATTTACAGAAATTCTTCATCTGTATAGGCACTGGATACTGATACAGCAACTTGTAATATGCCAGCTGTAGAGAGGGCCATGAGAAGCAGTCACTGGAAAACATGGGTGGGCCAGCAGCAGTTGTGAACCAAGCCGTCCTGACTCTTTTCCTGGAGAAAGAGTTAAGCTGGCCATACACCTATAGATTATCTGCAGATTTTCTATGGTCCGATGGAAAAAGTGCAACAGATTCCTCTACGCTAAACTGTGTGGATGGAGGAATCTCCCACTGGGCCAAGCTTCAGTATCTTGCTAGTCGGCCCCGCTGACTGACGATATCCCTGAACAACTCCTGCACCCAATCAGATTGTTCAGGTATTTTGACTGCCAGCGGGGCCGACTAGCAAGATACTGAAGCTTGGCCCAGTGGGAGATTCCTCCATCCACACAGTTTAGCGTAGATGGAGGAATCTGTTGCACTTTTTCCATCTGACCACAGAAAATCTGCAGATAATCTATAGGTGTATGGCCAGCTTTAGTTATCTGCTCAATCCAGTGTACTTTTGCTTTGTGTTTTTATTATTTATTTATTTTTTATTTCCACATCACTTTGACCAAACCATGCACAGATGCAGTAGGCAGGGTGACAAAGATTTTCTAGTCATATTACCAATATGTAAAATCCATCTGCTAAACTAAGATGATGTCCCTTTTAAGAGCAGCTATCTCCCCATTAATAAAGCAAGATATTTTTTTTTAAACAAATTAAAAAATGCACAGCACATACATTTACAGTATCTAAATTCTGTATACCTGTTTTCTTTTTGCAGTTGTGGCCATACTGACCTGGGTCTATTTAGTTTACGGAAAGAAGGGCTGGATGCTCGTGCTGCATTGGTGAATGGGACGCTGGATGTCTGGCTGTGCTTCATAATCAGCCCTGTTGCAATCTCTTTTTTTCTTTTCTTTTTTTCTTACTGTGTAAAATATTTATTGAATAGCTTATTCTATTTGTGTTGTATATTATTCTGGGTGACCATTAAGAATTGTCTAGAAGCAGCAGAAGGGAAAACACTACTATATTACTAGATTATTTATGCTAATCGACTGTGGAGGGATTAATCTGTTCTCATTGACAGAAGCGCTATGCCTAAAAGCCCTGCTGATGGCAATCTCAGTCATGTAAGTATACAGGAAAAAGAGATAACTGACACATATGTATTTGCTGTGCAGCTGAAGGTGTGTTTGAAAATATGTCTCCCTATTACACTACCTTCAGCTTTAAAATGTTCTGTGTAGCTCCAACCAAAACTTTTTATTTTTTTATTTTAATAGAGTAAGGAAAGGTTAGATTGCCTGTCAGGTTCTTATTGCAGACCGTAGCACTCTTACTTCTTGTCCTGTTGACAACCATGGTATTGAAGTAATGCAGACTTCACCCTCCATATATTCCAATATACCCTGTTCATTGGGAGTTTAAATAGGGTTCTTGGCAGGTAGTTTTGACTGCCAAACACCCCCTCAAATGCCCGATCTGATAGGACTTATTGATTCAAATGGTGCACTACAAAAGTAAGCATTTGACAGGCAATGCTGTGCAGTGTAGTGACCTAAAGGTTTCATGCAGTTTTCAGGCCTTGGGTGTCTATTAATTTGAATTGCTTCTGCCAGCAGGACAATTTTAAGGTAGAAGGAACCTCAACAACTAAGGTATCTGATACTCTTCTGTGAACAGAGCCCCAAGGACAGGGGAAATAAGAAGCCAGTTCATACGTTGCACTTTTTGATTTTCTTTCTTGCCGGTACAATGATGTACATACTACGTATTAAATGAATTGCACTATGTAACTGACTATACAATGCAGAAAGTAATATTAAGTGGCCTAAATCTCTGGCAGCATGTGTGAGTGGGACGTACGTGTAGCTATAGCTCTATAGTGGTAACCATACATAGCTAGTAAATCTTTTCTTTTATACACTGGAACCAATGTACCATTTTAAATAAAAGCTACCTACCCCCAATCAGCCTCTGTCTTCGGATCTCACTCCAGTTTTTATTGTAAGATCATTGATAACAAAATCTAAGGACTTTTATCAGCAGGCAGAGCCTATTCAGCAATATAAAAGAAGGGGCCTGTTTATAAAGCCTGAACGAATCCCAGTAATATTATTCTGCTTGGATTTATCCAGTTCTACCATACATTTACCAATAACCACTTGTAATACACTGAAAGTGTTGATAGTGATCGTTAACCATTAGAAGTGACTGTGTCTCCTCCGCTGATCAATTGCCACTAACAGGATTTGCCTATATCAGAATCTGTGTATGCTGTATTATTATTATACAGGATTTATATAGAGCCAACAGTTTGTGCAGCGCTTTACAATATAAGGAAGACATTACAGTTACAATACAATTCAAGACAAGGTGGTAAGGAGGGCCCTGCCCCTGAGGGCTTACAGTCTAAAAGTAAGATGCAAGTAGGAGTTTATAAATAAAGTAAACAACATAAAACATATAATTGTTTGGAGTCACTTGCCCTGAGAATATACAAATCCATATGTGTATGAAAGAATAAATGTATTCCCATCCAAGTAAATGATGCAACAGTGCCCATATTTATATTGGAAGACTTCAAGCCCAACTCCAGGGATTTTTTTTAATTGATTTCAATAAGCCCCAGGGTAAGGTACAAAAAAAAAAGTTAGATCTGCAATACTTACCTTCAATCCAAAGCTGCCCTTGCAATATTTTGTTTTTCACCCCAAGATGTCATCAGACTAATGAGTTGAGGGACGCCCAACGTCATTCAACCCTGAAGACTAAGGACATGCTATAAATAAAGGGTATCATGGCCCTAACCACAAAGGGGCATCGCTACAGCACCCTTCATATATAGTATTTTGAAGCAGTGAGTGACGCTGACATTGGCATCAGCAGAGTACCAGCCCAACAAGAAGACAACCCAGATTGTCATGTGAGCAGCCTGAAGAAATCTAAAAGAAGAAAAAAAGAAAGTCAAACATACATTTTGACGAAATTCATTGGATTTGATTGTGAAGACAAAATACCGCACGTTTTTCTTGGGCTTCACAGTTTTATTATCAAGGGACATATTTGTCAACCAGGGAATCTGACATTCACCAAATATTCACTGCATGTGAGTCTTCCAGGTGCATGTGTTTTAAAGTGACACATTATAGTCAAGGTATTGGAATGTGTTTTAAATAAAAATGTATCTTTATTTGTGTATCGCTAGGGTTCTAATACTCACCAGCCCGGTGCCAGATGTCTTTGTCATGCAGAATACAATATGAAAGCTGGATCTAGACTTAGTGGTACCTCCATTTTATTTAGGGTACTTGAATTATTTTTAAGATTAAACTCCTGAGTTTAGTGTCACTTTAAATGACTATAAAAGTCAAGTTCAGCTCCATCTCTCAAGGCTTCATATTGGATATTGAAGCTTCCAATTACATCAAAAAGCCAATACAGAGGTGACTAAGCCAAGGCAAACTTTTACAGGAAGACTTAAGTTGCCTATATAGTATATCTGTGTCTGATCATCATTTTGACATGCAATTTTAATTGAAGGTAGACTATTCTTATGTATATTTTATCATATGTTCAGTCTGAATTGCCCAGGTGTGAGACAGGTTTCAGTTTAAGGATATACAGATTAGGGTTGTGTGACAGCAATTGTCAGCAGCAATGAATCATCATCTGTTCTATATCGGGCTGTTCTTGTAAGAAACTGGAGTCTGGTAACTGTAGGCTGCAGGTAAAGCTCACATCAGAGTGTAACCATGCATCAATTAGTGTTATGTCAGTAACCAGGCAAGATTCTTTTTACTTAATGACAGTAACTCTACACAGCCACTGTAAGTGATGCTGTCAGACTGGATGAGGTTTCGATAGCTGTGTGCTTCAGGTGTAATTATTCTTTCCACCATCACTCTCAAATACATGCACACAGGAGAGAAGATTGCTCTATGCTCCTATGATATGAATTCGGAGGCTGGCAGGTAAGAGGTGCTTACTTGGATGGCTGTTGGTGTTGTATTGGAACCATCATCTGGATGCCACCAATGAGCTCAATGGGCTAGTATATAACAATGACAATATAGAGCAGGGCTGGGCAAATCCTAGGAGCTAGGTAACTAATGCTCCTTACAAATTGCTGCTGGCACCCAATTATTCGGATTTCTAGTTGTAGTTAATGGAGCTGACTCCTGACTTCCATATTAATATGTCCACTGCTGTTTTGGAACATCAGTGTGGTGAGCAGACTATACTAAAGGCAAGCAATATGCAAATATAAATGAAAAGACCAGTTACCTTATGTACACTAGAATTCAGATTTGTAAGTGTCGGCCATCTGTTGCTTTCCCATCAGTTTTTAGAAAATTAAATATTCCTGCTGGAATAAAGTGCATCAATTTGCTATCTATTTATTTAAAGAAGGACTCCAGCTCATTTTTGTCTAGGTAAAAAAAAAACAACACAATTATACTCATCCAAAGCTCCAAGCTGGCCAACTGTCAGAGTGCTCCCTCCAGCCCAGAGGTGTAACTAGAAACCTCAGGGCTCGGGTGCAAGAACCGATGATGGGGCCCCCATCCCACCTCCATCACCTCCATCAAAAAAGCATGATTTTTTAATACTTTTTTTTTTCTTTTCTTTCCAATAAATGTTGTAAATGGATGCCATCGCTGGCAGAACTACCAGGGTTACATTTGACTATTTAGGAATCCTGTGAAAATTACTTAACCCTCCCCTAAAACATACCACTCCAAGCTCACTCCTGTGATGACTACAATCTCACGTTTAGTTTACTAATTTGTATTGAGATTGTAGTCCATCACTGGAGTGAGCTTGGAGCAGTGACTACTTTATAACACATACAGGGACCATGGGGAACAAAAGTAGCCACCCTCCAGAAGGAAGGACAGTGTCGGCACCAATTAAAAGATGGTTTGAGGATCTACAGCCGAGTGATACACAAATAAGATACAGCATTGGTAATAGTTAAAGGTACTTGAATGTATTTTTAATATTTAACTCCTGAGTTTAGTGTCACTTTAATGGTAAAGAGATTAAACACTTTACATGGGATTTTGTTCTAGTCAGTTGTATATGATCAGTGTGACTTTCTAGAGATACTTTGGTGTAATTGGTAACTGTTCTGGTTACATATTGCGGTTGATTTACTAAAGGAGCAATGCATGTTCACTTTACAAAGTACATGTTCACTTGGCTTAGTGAATGATGTAAAGCTGTGTGAAAATTCGGTTTAAAAAGAATACGAGATTATATACAAGGAAAATGTAACCTTTTTATTTTATTGGATAATTAAAGTGAACATAGCATTTCATTCACTAAAATAATTGATCAATCCCTCCTGTAAAGTGAACATGCTTTTTTCCTTTAGTAAATCAACCCCATACCCTGAAACTGGTTATATAGTTGCTTTATACCACTTGTATATGTAGTTCTGGTACATGGAGCTCTCCTTGTAGGAACATGGTTCAAAGTAAAGCCCAATTGCAGGAGAAACCTTGTGACAAGTATGTCACTGGATCACCACTTAATAAGAACCGCCTTGACATTTGATCCTCCGACAAGATTTGAGCAATTCTATATACGAAACCCCACAGCTCGTAGACTAACATTCTTTTTATACTAACTGAGTAATTTAACTTCAGGATGTAACTCAAGTTCATATTTTTAAAATGGTTTAGCCACTTCCATGACAAAGGAGGAACAGGAGGTCAGGAGGTTATTTGGGAAACCACAGCTAAATGTGCAGAACATATAAAGATCCTAAATCAGCCTATAAAGTATTAACATGTGGGTATTTAGA